AAAATCTCTGGGACACAGCTAGGGCAGTATTAAAAGGATTATTTATAAGACTATATGCCCACATGAAAAAGTTACAAGGATTTCAACTTAGCAACATAACATCACACCTAAAAGAACTAGAGAATGCCTACCATGTGACGATTTTGAAAAAATTAATTTTGAAGTTAAAAAAGAGTCGAGAACCAAGAACATGCCAACCTCAAATTTAGAAGACAAGAAATATCACAAATCAGAGCTAAACTGAAGGAGACTGAGAAACGAAAACAGTCAAAGTAGAATGAATCCAACAGTTCATTTTTTTTCAAAGTGACAAAATAAACTGCTTGCCAGACTAATAAACAAGAAAATAGAGAAGATTCAAATAAACACAACTGGAAACAACAAAGGGGATAGTACCACAGATGCTACAAAAATATAAACACCCATCAGGTAGATTATAAACAGTTCTATGCATACAAACTAAAAAATCTACAGAAAATGGATACATTCTTAGATACATACACCTGACCAATACTGAACCAGGAAGAAACTGAATCCCTGAAGAGACCAACAATGAGCTCCAAAATTGAATCAGTAATAATAAGTCTACCACCCAAAAAAGGCCCAGGACCAGATAGATTCACAGCTGAATTCTACCAAGTGTACAAAGAAGAGCTAGTATCATTCCTACTGAAAGTATTCCAAAAAACTGAGGAGGAGAGATACCTGCCTAACTCATTTTGTGAGGCCAGCATTATCTTGATATCAAAACCTGGCAAGACACAACAACAACAACAAATTTCAGGCAAATATCCTCGAGGAAGATCAATAAAAATATCCTCAACGAAATACTGGCAAACTGAATCCAGCAGCACATGAAAAAAGCTTACCCACCATGATCAAGTAGGCTGTACCCCTGGCATGCAAGGTTGGTTCAACATATGCCAGTCAATAAACTCGATTCGTCACATAAACAGAGCAAAAGACAGAAACCACATGATTATCTTAATAGATGCAAAAAAGTCTTTCAGTAGAATTCAACACCTTTTCATGTTAAAAACCTCAGTCAACTGAGTATTGAAGGAATATATCTCAAAATAATAAGAGTCACCTATGACAAACCCACAGCCAACATCAGAGTGAATGGGCAAAGCTTGAAGCATTCCCCTCTGAACTGGCACAAGACAAAGATGCTCTCTCTCACCACTTTTATTTAACATATTATCGAAGGTCCTGGTCAGGGCAATTAGATAAGAGTAGGAAAAAAAGGCATCCAAAGAGGAAGAAAATAAGTCAAACTATCCTTGTTTGCAGGCAACATGATTCTGTATCTAGAAAACCCCATAGTCTCAGCTGAAAAGGCCCTTAAGCTGACAAACAACTTTAGGGAAATCCAGGATACAAAATCAACATACAAAAATCTCTATCATTCTTTCTTACAACAGCTAAGATGGGAGCCAAATCAGTAACACAATCATATTCATGATTGCCACAAGAAGAATAGAATACCTAGAAATACAGCCATCTAAGGAGGTGAAATATCTGTACAATGAGAATTACAAAACAGTGCTCAAAGAAATCAGAGATGACACAAAAAAATGGAAAAACATGTCTTGTTCATGGGTGGGTAGAATCAATATTGTGAAAATGATCATACTGCCAAAAACAATCTATAAATTCAATGCAATTCCCATCAAAATACCACCATCATTATTCACAGAACTAGAAAAAAGAATTCTAAAATTTATTTGGCACCAAAAAAGAACCTGCATAGTCAAAGCAAGGCTAAGCAAAAAGAATAAATCTGGAAGCATCACATTACCTGATTATAAACTATACTATAAGGCCATAGTCATCAAAACAGCACAGTACTGGTATAAAAATAGGCACATAGACCAATGGAACAGAATAGAAAACCCAAAAATAAACCCAAATATTTACAACCAACTGATCTTTGACAAAGGAAATGAAAGCACAAAGTGAAGAAAGGACACCCTATTTAACAAATGGTGCTGGGATAATTGGCAAACCACATGTAATGTAAGAGAATGAAACTGGATCCTCATCTTTCACCTTATACAAAAATCAACTGAAGATGGATTAAGAACTGAAATCTAAGAACTGAGATCTAAGACCTGAAACTATAAAAATTCTAGAAGATAACATCGGAAAAACCCTTCTAGACATTGGCTTAAGGAAAGATTTTATGACCAAGAACCCGAAAGCCAATGCAATAAAAACACAGATAAATAGGAGGGACTTAATTAAACTAAGGAGATTTTGTATGGCAAAAGGAACAGTCAGCAGAGTAAACAGACAACCCACAGAGTGGGAGAAAACATTCACAATCTGTACATCTAACAAAGGACTAATATAAAGAATCTACAATTAATTTATACAAACCAGCAAGGAAAAAAAAACCAAATAATCCCATCGAAAAGGGGGCTAAGGACATGAAAAAACAATTCTCAAAAGAAGATATGCAAATGAGCAACAAACATATGAAACAATGCTCAACATCACTAACGATCAGGGAAATGTAAATCAAAAGCACAATGCGATACCACCTTACTCATGCAAGAATGGCCATAATAAAAAATCAAAATAATAGATATTGGAGGGAATGAGGTGAAAAGAGGACATTTTTACACAACTGGTGGGAATGTAAACAAGTACAACCACTATAGAAAGCAATGTGGGATGCCTTAAAGAGCTAAAAGTAGCACTACCATTTGATCCAGCAATCTCACTACTTGGTATCTACCTGGAGGAAAATAAGTAATTATACAAAAACGATACTTGCACCCACATGTTTATACAGCATAATTCACAATTGCAAATGTGTGAAACCAGCCCAAATAACCATCATATAATGAAATACTACTCAGCCATAAAAAGGAATGAGTTAATGGCATTAACAGCAACCTGGATGGGATTGGAGACCATTATTCTAAGTGAAGTAACTCATTAATGCAAAATGAAACATCATATGTTCTCACTCATAAGTGGGAGCTAAGTGATGAGAATGCAAAGGCATAAGAATGATACAATAGGCTCTGGGGACTTGGGGGAAAAAGGGTGGGAAGCGGGTAAGAGATAAAAGGCTACAAATTGGGTTCAGTGTGTACTGCTCGGATGATGGGTGACCCCATATCTCACAAATCTCCATTAAGAGAGTTACTCAGGGAACCACATACCACCTGTTCCCCAAAAACCTATGGAAATAAAAAAATATATTTAAAAAAGATCACAGTGGAGAAGAGCACGTAGGATAAGATATGTCATTATGACCATCTTTGTAAAATACCATTTGCCAGATTCTTCAAGGCAAAATTTAAAAAAAAAGAAAACACTGCTCAAAGAAATCTGAGGTGAAACAAACAAATAAAAAAAATTCCATGCTCATGGATAGGAAGAACCAATATCATTAAAAGGGCCATAATTCCCAAAGCAATTTGTAGATCCAAAGTGATTCCTGTAAAATTGCCAATGACATTATTCAAAGAGCTATGTAAAACTATTTAAAAATTCATGTGGAACAAACAAAAAGCCCAAATGATCAAGGCAATCCTAAGCAAAAAGAAAAAAACTGGAGACATCATGCTACTTGACTTCAAACTATACTGTGAGGCTACAATAACTAAAACAGCATAGTATTTGTAGAAAAACAAACACATACGGAACAGAGAGACCACAAAGAAGGCCACAAACCTGCAACAATCTGATCTTCTACAAAGCTGACAAAAACAGGTAATGGGGAAAGGACTCCCTAGTCAATGAAAGGTTCTGCGATAACTGTTTAGCCATATGCAGAAGATTGAAACTGGATCCCTTCCTTATACCATTCACAAAAATCAACTTAGGATGGATCAGAGACTGAAATTTATTACCCCAAACTATAAAACCCTAGAAGACAACCTAGGCAATGCCATTCTGGATATAGGAATGGGGAAGGAATTCATGATGCAGATGACACAAGCTATTGCACCAAAAGCAAAAATTGACAAATGGGATCTAATTAAACTAAAGAGCTTCTGCATAGCAAAGGAAAACTATCAACAGGGTAAACAGGCAACCTACAGAATGGGAGAACATTTTTGCAAACTACGCATCAGACAAAAGGCTAACATTCAGCATCTATAGGGAACTTAAGAAATATACGGCCGGGCGCGGTGGCTCAAGCCTGTAATCCCAGCACTTTGGGAGGCCGAGGTGGGTGGATCACGAGGTCAGGAGATCGAGACCATCCTGGCTAACATGGTGAAACCCCGTCTCTACTAAAAATACAAAAAACTAGCCGGGCGTGGTGGCGGGCGCCTGTAGTCCCAGCTACTCGGAGGCTGAGGCGGGAGAATGGCGTGAACCCGGGAGGTGGAGCTTGCAGTGAGCCGAGATCGCGCCACTGCACTCCAGCCTGGGCGACAGAGCGAGACTCCGTCTCAAAAAAAAAAAAAAAAAAAAAAAAAGAAATATACAAGAAAAAAAACAATTTGATTAAAAAGTGGGCAAGAGATATGAACAGTCACTTCCTAAAAGAAGATATACATGTGGCCAACAAACATATGTGGAAAAGCTCAACATTTCTGATTATTAGGGAATGCAAGTCAAAACAACAGTTTTGATACCATCACATATCAGTCAGAACAGCTATTATTAAAATGTCAAAAAGTAATAGATGCTGGCAATGTTACAGAGAAAAAGGAATGCGTATTCACTATGGTGGAAGTGTAAATTAGTTCAATCACTGTGGAACACAGTGTGACAATTCCTCAAAGACCTAAAAACAGAACTACCAATTGACCCAGCAATCCCATTACTAGGTATATACCCAAAGAAATATAAATTGTTCTACCATAAAGACACATGCACATGTATGTTTGTTGCAGCACGATTCACAACAGCAAAGACATGGTATCAATCTAAATGCCCATTAATGGTAGACTGAATAAAGAAAAATGTGGTACATATACACCATGGAATACTATGCAGCTATAAAAATAATGAGATCATGTCTTTTGCAGGAACAAATATGGTGGGTCAGACCTGCTTCTTGACAGACAGCCAGGATTCACAGAAAACTGGAGGCCATGGTTAAGTATTCACTCTCTGCTAAGGCACAGTAGCAAGGCAAATGCTTTTTCTCAAATGGAGAGAAGTTATCCACAAAGGATGACATGTCTTTGCTCCACATTTTCCAGATCTGTGCTATGACTCTCCTGTAGGAGCCTGCCAAAATTTCCAAAAGGATCTCTACCTGCCACCAACACTTCTATCAAAGAGCATAGAGTTTTCAGAGAAGACAACTCATAGCCTCAGGTCAGTGACTGTGGCTCAGTTTCCTTCTGGGGATGAGGAGCAGAGCCTATCCCTGCATGGGGGAACAAGGAGCTGAAGCAGCCCCACAGGGATGAGGCCTGCAGTATCACCAGGAAGGCTTCTGTCTGTCCTGGGAAAGGTGGGAAGAGATTTGTGTGTGTGTCTTGTGTGTGCACTACACGGGAGGGACCTGCCCAACATGCTGCGTGCTTTGACCTCAGCAAGGACCCACAGCTGCAGGTTGATTTCCACACTGGGACAGATAAGAAGTCAGACATTGCCTTCCATTTTGGAGTGTACTTTGGGAATTGAGTGGTCATGAACAGCATGTGTGTGGAGCGTGGAAGCATCACAGAAAATCTGAGGGTATGCCCTTTAAGGATGGCAAACAATTTGACCTGCACATCTCAGTGCTGGACAAATGAGTACTAGGTGAGCGTCCCAGGGGCTTTCAGTGTTTGGCCTCACTGGGATCCCAGAGCAGGAGGCAGCTCTCTGTAAGCTGGCCCCAAGAGTCCCTTGGGGCCCATCTCCCATAACTGCCCCTGCCCCAGACTTTTCATCACAGAGCACCCTCTGCTTGCACTGCCATCCTCAGCTCTTTTCCCAAATTTGACCAGGGTCAAGGTCATCTCACCTGTCATTTCCTCCAAAGTGAAGAATCTCCTCTGTCTTTTCCCATAGTGCTCATTTCTAGTGATGATGTACTTATATTTTCATTTATCCAAAATGTAGAAAATACACATGTAAATAAAATAGTTTCAGTGAGCCAAAAATTTAGTCTTTCTCTCAGGATTGAGCCCCAATTTTACTCCCCAGTACAATAATATTACTGGCTTCTCTACTCAAATTATGGAGATAATCTGCTTACAGAAATATATAGTTTTATGTTTTCTTTCTGAACAAATGTACTTTAGGAACTGGGGTGGACTGCTTGTCAAACACTGTATTTTGCAAAGTCATCTATTTATGGTGCTGCCTCAGTTTTTAAACACTGCACAATATTCCTGTAGAATGGTTACCAAAAATTATTGAACTTTACTCCTTTGATGGACATTTAGACTGTTTCCAGTATTTTGCTCTCACAAATGATGCTGTATTAAGCTTTCTAATCAATCTTTTTTGTTATCAAACTCCCAGTAGTTGTATTAAAGAATAATCACAAAGAAATGAAATAACTGGATCAGAATTGTGTGCATTTTAAATATTGTAAATTAACACCTAAACATTGACTGTTTTATAGCTTTAGTAATAAATAATATTTCCAACCTTCCTGACATTTTCAAATGGGTAAACCCAAAGATTAACATTTTGTTCAGATTTAAGTGAGTAATCCTTTAATATGCCTATGAGTTGTTCAAAATAATATACTATGTCTTGCAATACCTATTGTGTTCTTTCTCTGTAAAAACACTTGGATTTCATTCCTTGCTAACCCCTTGGCAGCCCCCGGCAACTCCAAAGAGAAAGTGGGCCATCAGTGGTGAATGGCAGTCATAGTCTGTGTAACTGAAAAGTATACATTCAATGAGCATTGTTGATCACGAACCCTTTGTGAACCCCTGTAGAAGACGCAGGGATTCAAATTCATGACACAGAGTCTGGCATATTCCAGGCTAGAGAAGAGGTTGAGCAAACAGGAACTGTGTGACACAGAGTGGTAGAACTTCCCTGGAGTAATGAGAGGAAGGAAACATGGGAAATAAAATGAACAACTGTCTGAAATAGGCACAAAGGTAGTCTGTAGATAGAAGTATGTCTACTGGTTTCTGATGTATAATTGGGAGTTTTCTGGTTGGTTGCTATAGGCACTAGGGCTGAGGGGAGATAAGACTGATAGCTTGTTTTGTTGCATGCTGTATTTCTGATGCATTTTTCCTCTTGCAGGTAATCGTCAATGACAAAGTGTTACAGTTTTGCCCATCAACTCCCATCATGTTACGTGAAGATGGTGCAAGTGTGGTGGGATGTCTCCCTGACCTCAATGTGTGTCTGTGATTGACGGTGATGTCCACACTCCCTGTTACTGAGGAGCAACAGAAACTCCCCATTTCTCTGTGACTGTGGTATCCCAGAGCCTGCTAAGAGAATGATCTCTCCTCACGCCTTCCTCTACACATGGTCAATAAAACTTCACTAAATTATCCAGGATCTGGTTCTCACTCTACTGGGGAAAACGACAAAGTGGCACAGACACACAAGTGAAACAGGCAGTGAGTCACAACACCACTGGAATATCTGAGATGACAAAACAAACAACATTCTCTATAGCCCATACTTTACGTCAAACACTCTGAACTAAAATTCTTCTTTCATTTTAGATGACTCATTGCAGTGAAATGTTAGGGATCTGTTTACAACCACACAGGCTTTGAGGAGAGACTTTGTAATTTGAGGAAAGTCAGGTGAAATATCTTAATTCTTCGCTCATCCTAAGAATGTTTCTTGTGTCTTGAAACTGCCTGGAATTGTGTGGGATGCACTGGAGGAATTGGAAGAAAAATTTGAGAATGTTTACATCTAAATTTTCAATCCAAGCAATAGTTAGAGAATCACAGTTCAATGATTTCCTTTTAAGAATCCATTTTTTTTTTCAAAATAATTTTCTGATTTTTCCATTTTATGTGGGAAGAATCCTGAGATTTCTCTTTGTAAACAAATGGTCATGGTTTAAGATCAGAAAATAAGTGGTTTATTGGTGGAATGGACACAATTCATGCACATGGGCACTGTGAACAGATTCTACTTTGCTGCTGTTACTGTTGGCATTGCAGCACAGGCAACCTCCCCACACATGTTGGCTTAAATCAATCATTTATTCTGATTTCTCTGAGTTTTGAAGGTTTAGTGGACTCATGTAGGTGATAGATTATGCGGTGAGTGTCTCGATTTTAGAAAGATCTATAGTCAGAGATTTCAGAAGATGCTTCACTCATGCCCAACTCAACATTAGGGTGGCTGAACACCTAGTGACTGGTTGTTTGTTTCCTTCCCTATCTTATCTCCACATCAGTGCCTTGAATTCCCTGAATTCCTGAAATCAGAATCAATGATTGGCTTCCACCAATGAAAAGCTTCCAAAAGTCTCATGAAGAAGGTGCAAGGCCTTGTAGGCCTTAGCTTTGAAAGGTAGACAGTGTGAATTCTATGACATTATATTGATCAAGGTGTCATGCAGAAAGCCCAAATTAAGGAGAGGGAACGCTACAAGCTATGGTTGTTTTGACTTGTCATCATCGTTGGGCCATTTGTGGAAATTATTTCCACTTAGCCCCCACTGGCTCACTTGCCACATCCCCAAAACACTTACCTTCTGAAAAACCACAGAAACCAATACAATACAAGAATAGGCTCAGAGTGAAGTTCAATATTTTATTATTTAAATCGGGACCTGGTGTTTAGAGGTGAGAACAAATTATCAGGTGCACTTTCTCTCAACATGTTCCCTAAAGGGATAAATTATCTGCCCTGAACAAATCAAACACACAATACTGAAACAGACATAATAAAAATGCAATGATCGTATCTATTTTATAGTGTAAACAGAAAATAGACAGCAGTCATTGGTTTACATCATTGCTGAAACCAGCCAGATGCCTAATTTCATTTCTTCTGGGAATGTTTTTCTCAGCAATTGGCTCCACCCTCCGTTCTCAACTTCTCAGAATTCCCACCAAGATGGCAGAATCACAGCCCTTTTCCCTCTACAAGAGCTGTGATTATCTTCTCTGTTGCACATCTGGAGAACCACTTAGGAGAAACAACATATTACCTACAAACGAAAGAATGCAAATTGAAGAAGCTTCCATCAAATGGCCTCTCTTGACAGGGCTCATCTCAGGTCTGCAAAGGACAAGAACTCTTCCTTTTTTATGGCTACATAGTATTCCATGGTGAGTATGTGGCACATTTTCTTAATCCAGTCTATCATTGATGGACATTGGCGTTGGTTCCAAGACTTTGCTATTGTGAACAGTGCTACAATAATCATACGTGTGCATGTGTCTTTATAGTAGAATGATTTATAATCCTTTGGGTGTATACCCAGTAATGGGATTGCTGGGTCAAATGGTATTCCTAGTTCTAGATCCTTGAGGAATTGCCACACTGTCTTCCACAATGGTTGAACTAATTTACACTCCCAACAACAGTGTAAAAGCATTATTATTTTTCCACAACCTCTTCAGCATCTGTTGTTTCCTGACTTTTTAGTGATTGCCATTCTAACCAGCATGAGATGATATCTGATTGTGGTTTGATTTGCATTTCTCTAATGACCAGTGATGATAAGCATTTTTTCTTATGTCTGTTGGCTGCATAAATATCTTATTTTGAGAAGTGTCTGTTCATAACCTTTGCTCACTTTTTGATGGGGTTGTTTTTTTTTTCCTTGTAAATTTGGTTAAGTTCTCTGTAGATTCTGGATATTAGCCCTTTAACAGATGGATAGATTGCAAAAATTTTCTCCCATTCTGTAGGTTGCCTGTTCACTCTGATGATAGTTTCTTTTGCTCTAAAGAAGCTCTTTAGTTTAATTAGATCCAATGGGGATAGAATTTTTAAGGAATGGACAAGTCATAGGCCCAGGTAAATTAGAGTGGCTCACTTTTGATCTTGTGATGAGGGGCAGAGTGTGTCCTCACCTGGGGGAACGAGGAGCTAAATAGCCTCACAGGGACCAGGCCTGCAGTATCACCATGGAGACTGCTTTCTTCCCTGAAACGGGGGAAGGGATTTGTGTTTGTGTTAAGTGTGTTCCCCACAAAGAAGGGGCTTGCCTAACACTCTGTGTGCTTTGCCCAGAGCTGCAGATGGATTTCTACACAGGGACAAATGAGGACTCAGACATCGGCTTCCATTTCTGAGTACACTTTCACCATTGTTTGATCATAAACAGCTATGTGTGTGGGACCTGGAAGTGTGAGAAGTGATGCCACAATGTGCCCTTTGAGGATGGTGAAACATAATCTGAGCATCTTGGTGCTGGACAATGAGTACCAGGTCAGCATCCTAGGAGCTCCCAGTACAAGGCCTCCATGGGCTCTCAGAGCAGCAGGCAGCTCTCTCTGACCTGGCCCCAATAGTCCTTCAGGACCCATCTGCCATAACTACTCCTGCCCTGGGCTTTTCATCACGGAGCACCCTCTGCTTGCACTGCCATCCTCAGCTCTTTTCCCAAATCTGACCAGAGTCAATATCAGCTCACCTGGCATTTTTCCCAAGAAGGAGAATCTCCTCTGTCTTTTCCATTGTTCTCCTTTCTATTTGTGCTGTTACTTAAGTTTTCAGGTAGTGGACTGACAAAATATTCATAAGAATAAAATTGTTTTAGTCAATGAAAAAATAAGTCTTTGTCTCACTCCTGGACCCAATCTTACTGCTGAGAATATTACCAGTGTTTTATTCTCCTTCCACAGGAAATCTCTGCTTATGGAAACATATAGATTTATTAATTTATTTGTTTTTAAACAAATCCTGGTATATGTTGCTCTCCACCTTACACTTTAGGAACTGAGTTGATTTGTTGTCAAAGAATGCATCTTGAAGACATCATCTATTGATGGTGCTGCCTCAGTTTTCAAAGGTTGCATAATGTTGCATTAGAAGGATTACCAAAAATTGTGGACCTTGACTTTTTTGATGGGCATTGAGGTTATTTCCAATATTTTTCTCTTGCAAATGGTGCTGTATTAAGATTTCTAGTCAATTCTCTTGTCATTATTCACCTCTCTTATATTGAAAGATATCACAAAGAAATGAAATATGTGCATTTTAAATTTAACGAATTAACACCTATAAAGTTACTTTACAACCTTAGTAATAGAGAATATGTCCAAATGTTCTGGTTCTTTCTAATGGGTAGGTGAAAAGATTCACATTTTATTCAGATTCAAGTGAGGGATCTTTACCTATTCTTAGAAGCTGTTCAAAATGATATTCTATGTTTTGCAACACTTGTCCGATTCTACCTCTCCAACAGCACTTGAGTTTTATTCTTGGCCACCATCAGCCCTGATCTAGGCAACTCCAAAGAGATACTGGGCCATCAGCAGTGAATGGCGGTTGTAGTTCGTGGAACTGAAAGATATACATTCAATGAACATGGTCTAGCGTTAACCCTGTGTGAACCCCTGTACAAGATGCAGGGATTCAAGTTGGTGAAACACAGTCAGTAGCCATGGGGATTTTCCAGGATAGAGGGGAGGCTGAGCAAACGTAGACCATGTGTCACAGAGTGGTAAAGCATTTCTTGAAGAATAAGAGAAAAATTAGAAATAAAGTGAGCAACTGTCTAAAATAGGCAAGAAAGTTAATCTGTAAACAGAAGTGTGTGTCTTGGGTTCAATTATATAACAAGGAGTTTTCTCACGGTATGTTGTAAGTACTAGGACAGAGTAGAGAAGAGGGTGAAAGCTTGTTTGAAGGCATACTGTCTTTCTGATGCATTTTTCTTCCTGTAGGTAATAAGAAATAGCCAACACTGTTACAGCTTTGTCCATCAACTTCCACCACGTTCTGTGGACAGTGCAAGTGTGGAGAGATGTCTCCCTGACCTCAATGTCTGTCTGCAATTAAGGGAGATCACCACACTCTCCATTGTTGAGAAATCCCTTTTCTATGTGACCATAGGATCTCCAGAGCCTGCTAACAGCGTGACCTCTCCTCATGCTTTCCCCTACCCTTGGTTACTAAAACATCACCAAACTACCCAGGATTTCTTTGGTTCTTGCTTTAAGGGGGTAAGAGAAAGTGGTCATCCCCAAGAGGACCTGAGGAATTCTATGGGAGGCATCCAGAAATCAAAGAGGAGAAATCTTCTTGTGACTCCAGGAGTGAGTGACAATGTGCCTAGAATGTCTTAGGAGTCATTTGGTACAGCATCCTTCTATGGCACGTCGTTGACGTCAGTGACTCTGAAACAAAATCCTTACCCAATCTCAGATGACTCACTGCATTGAAATGTTAGGTAGCTGTTTACAGCCACACAGGTGTACCTCGTGGCTTTAGGGGGAAATTTTGTAACTTGAGGACAATCTGGGGGAATTTCCTAATTCTTTCCATTGTTCTCAGGGTACTTGTTGTGTATAAACATGGTGCTTGGCTCTATACAGACTTCCATGCAGGAACTTTAGAAAAAGACACATGTCTGGTGTGAAAATTTTAATTCAAGCAATCATTAGGTAATCATAGGAGTCCAAAGATTTCTCTTAAAGAACTCTAATTGTTGATATTTAAAAACAACTGCGAGATTTTTCTGATGTTTGTGGCAGAATCCTGGAATTTCTATTTGGAAACAAATAGTCATGGGTTTAGACCAGAAAATATGTAGTTTATTGTTTGGATGGACACAATTCATACACATGGACACAGTGAGCAGACCTTGCTTTGCTGCTGTTTCACTAGGCATTGCAACGCAGCAAACCTCCCAACACATATTGACTTAGAACAATCATTTATTCTGATCTTTCTCAGTTAACTGGACTCATGTGGGTGGTAGATTATGTGGTGAGAGTCTCGTTTTCTGAAGAATCTTTTAGGCTGGAATTCCAGGGGATGCTTCACTCATGTCTGACTCAACACTGGGGCTGGGTGAACATCTGGGGGCTGACTGGTTATTTCCTTTCCTACCTCACCTCCCAATCCATGCCTTGAATTCCCTCAAATCATGAGAGTCTCGTGGTTCTTGGACTGAATGAATGATGATTGGCTTCCACTAAAGAAAGCCTTCCAAAAGCTCAGGAAGAAGGTACAAGGCATCATAGGACCTAGCTTACAAAGGCAGACAGTGTCAGTACTGTGACATTGTATTGAACACAGTGAGCTATACAGACAGCCCACATCAAAGGTAAGTGATTACACAAGCTGTAGTTATTTTGACATGTGGTCATGAGGGAGCATCCTTGGCAACTATTATCACCCAGTCCTCAATGGCTTACATGTTTCCCACATTCCAAAACCACTAATCCTGTAAGGAACCACTGAACACAACAGAACTACAGAAACAGGCTCAGATTGAAGTTCAGCATCTTATCATCCGATTAGGATCTGGTGTCCATGAGGTGACTACAAATTATCAGGTGCACTTTCTCTCAACATATGCACTAAAAGAATACATTATCTGCCCTATACAAATCAAAATATTAGACTGAAACAGATATAGGAAAATGCAGTGAACACACTTATTTTAGAAAAGGAAAAGATAGCCGGGCGCGGTGGCTCACGCCTGTAATCCCAGCACTTTGGGAGGCCGAGGCGGGCGGATCACAAGGTCGGGAGATCGAGACCATGGTGAAACCCCGTCTCTACTAAAAATACAAAAAATGAGCCGGGCGCGGTGGCGGGCGCCTGTAGTTCCAGCTACTCGGGAGGCTGAGGCAGGAGAAAAGCCATGTATTAAAAATCCACAGCAAACATCAAGCCACTGTACTCCAGCCTGGGCGACAGAGTGAGCCTCCGTCTCAAAAAAAAAAAAAAAAAAAAAGAAAAGGAAAAGATAATAAACAGCACTCTGAAAGCAAGATGGGTCACCAACAGCTTTACTGGAACCACCCACGAAAATTCAGCCAGGGTTCTCACTCTTGTTACATCTGCTCAAACCAGCATGGCCTTCTGTGGATATACTGTCTTGATATCTGCTGCTTGTGTTTTTATAAGTACTTGAAGGATATAGGTTTCATTAAGTTGGACTAAGTGATCTTCTTTAAATTGATAAGCAAAACATGCACCCAGTGAATGAAACTGTGCTAGCTCATTGAACATAAATAAAAATTAAAACAAAGAGACAAATAAAAACAAACAAGAACAAAAAAGAAAATAGGCAGCAGTCACTGGTCCACATTATTGAACCGTATTTTCATCTTCTCTGAAAATGTTTCTCTGCAACAATTGGCTC